AATTACTATTTCTATGAAATAGCTCACATATTGTAATAACATATGCATACATACACAAACACACACTTTAATTCTTTTCCATCACAAACATCATACAATGCTTATGATCATATGCATGGACTATCCCCACACATCTGGTTTGCAACAAGGCAAGAAGCAACCCAGAAACTCAGATGACAATAAGTTGCCAGACTTGGCTTTCTAAGTTAGTTGTTAGTTAATGCCGACTATGAGGATTTCATCAGACTTTCCTATGGATTGCAGGAAGAAAGGCAAAGAGCAGTAACTAACAGCTTCATAACACTTGCAGCTAAGTTAAATATTGGCTTTTGTTGAAATTTAAAAGTGTTTACAATTGGGAAAGAAAGACCTCAGGGCAATATTTAAAACAACAGCAACAAGAACAACAGCAACAAGCCTTCTACTTCCTTTATCAAAATAGAACTTTTTTTTTTTTTAAATCTGCTTTCCCAATTGTTAGGTAAATCCACTTATCCCGATGAAGGACAATTTGACAAATTCATCACCAATAAGAGCAGAAGATACAGTTGAAACACAAATATAACTACTGTGTGCAGATGTGGTGGAAAAACCAGAGACCTGAAATATGGCAAAAATCAGTGCTTCATAAACAGTCAATGGATTTTTCTCTAAAAATACTTTTTGCTAATGGCAAAGTCCAACACCTCAGAAAAACTCTGAATAAAGATCTTAGCATGAGTTTCCAAGCTATACAACATCGCTTTATACACTACCCTTGTTGTTTGTAAGGCTGCGTGGAAGTTTAGCATAACAGTCATGAGCCATGTGTTTGGACAACTTTTGAGAAGTGACCAGCAAAGAAAGACAGTTTTTCCCATATCTGTCAAACTACTTATGAAGAGATACCATTGCTTCCCAAAGAGTTTCTTTAAATGTTTCCTTAAAGGCATACGAGGAAGCTTCGATTTGCTTCATTGAACCATCTGGAAAACTATGTAGACTTTATGAAATTGATACGTTTGCTAAGAGTGCTCTCGTTAATCCGTAACTATCCACTCTAATCGGTATTTTATAGTTTAATGACCAGATATGCAAAGATGTTCACTGTTACGGTAGCTCTTACCCATTAAACTAAGAAACTGTAGGTAACAGCGTCCTCTCACTACTGGGGACACACTCTGAAATTAGTGACTTCCGAGCGTTAGTGTCATAATCATAGTTCTGAAGTGCACTGCCGACCCCTTGGCAGCCCGGAGTGACCGTTCTCGGGGACAACAAGTACATCGTGGGTTGAGAGAGAGTGAGGAGCAAGAAGGTGCCAATGAGCTGGGTTTTCGGCTACATTTTCTTGTCCTAAAGTTGTCTTCTGGGGGAGGAGGAGCTCAACCTTCTTCAGGGTACATGCTTGGATGTCAGGAGAACAATGAATGGAGAGGGCAGTCTCCTTTCCCACTTGTCTGGCATGATCTCCTGGCAAGGATGGGGTAGGTGTTTGCCAGGTGGCTCCCAGACAAGGTCTCTTTAGGGGAACACAACAAGGCTTCAGTCACTGCTGTTCATAAAGTGCTTTGGGATCCTTCAGGAAAAGGGGGCTGGCAGGATATTATTTGTAGCTGGCTTCAGGTTTTGAACCAAATGGAACCATTTTCTTCAGTATAATTATTGCTTTGAGTGTTAGTGAATGCTCTGAAAGCCCAATGGAGCTCATCTTTAAGTACCCACTTCTCAAAATACCCCTTTTCCCTGGAGTTAATGGTTTTAATTACTGTGCCCCAGGTAACCTCACCAGCTAGAGGACGTGATAGCCTTGTTTTGTGAGTGGTTGCATTGACATTTTCATTTTCTAGGGTGTATTCTCTCACGAATAGATGGCAGGAGTGCAGCTAGAGACCTCTAGCCAGGCACGCGCTGTCTGTCTGTCTGTCTGTCTGTCTGTCTGTCTGTCTGTCTACGATAGGCTGCTCCCTCTTCAATAGATTCATGAGATGATGTATGGTTTGTGTGCGGCTAGATTCTTAGATTGTGAGCTCTCTGTGGCCTGGGAGTTGGTTTTGCTGCTGATTTTTTGGTTCTCTGTCCAGCTTTGAACATAAGAAAGCATGGGAGGGCCACATGTTTTGATTTTTAAGGATCCTCACAAAGGATAGGAGATGGGATATTCAGGTCTGAGTAAAGCAGGTTGGTAAAACTGGAAAAGAGACGTGGGGTAGGGATGTTTCCTCAAGAGCCTCTAAAATTGTATTCAAAGAGAATAAAGGGTACATTTATCATATTCAAAATAAAACAGACACAATCAAATAAAACAAAATATCAGATAGTCTAAGTTCCTGATGTATGCGTCATCAAAATGAATGAATACAAAACTGAATTAGAGAGCAAAGTCATTTTTCCCACAGTGCATTAACTTCAACTGGATCCACAAGGTTTTCCAAGTGGGGTCGGGATGAACCTGGTTCTTTTAATAAGTAGGTGATTATTGAGGTTATCACCTAACTATTTAATGTGAGAATGTTGTAAGCAAAATGCATTTGCAGTTGAGTTAAGCATGTCCATTGAAGTCTACTGCACATTAAGCATCCCAAGGACATGCCTCTTTTTCTCATGGAAAATGAAAATATAACCAAGTAATGTCATATAAACTAGTGGGTTTTGATTTAATACAGTTGGGTTTAGTAAGCCAGAACTTGCTGAGATGAAGGTTAGTGAAGTGGGTGAGCCTCTGATCTGACTTCTTGTTGAAGACCCTCTATATAATTCAGTGGTAAATTACCCCCTAGGTAGTCAGGATCAGCGTCCCTTGACATCTCTATCTTTGGCAGTTCTAGCAATTCATCTTCCAAATGCATCGAGGGTGTCCAGTTTATCTTCTAATTAAAAGCAAAAATCCAATGTAGGCACACTGTCATTCCTATTATTCACAAGGGGCTAAAATTTTTAAATGGACATCTCTCCTAAACTTGGGTTTTAATTAGTTGATTTATATATCTATTGATAAGATTTGTGTTCTCCAGCAATAAAGAGCTTTGTGATATTGGAAACTTGTTGGGTTGGATTTGGAATAAGAAGTAGATGCTTTTATGAAAATAAAGAAAGCAGAATAGACAATCACTAGTTGACAAAGTTTGTACCAGTTTCTAGGGGTATCTTTATAAAAGAAGTGCTTTTGAGTTTTATGACATGAAGTCAGTTCTTGCAACCTTCAGGAAGTCATTAAACCCCTCTATCCTTAATTGGCCTCCTCGTCAGGCCAAGGACTTAAGACACACACCCTCACTCCTTCTATATACATAAGCCACTAAGATATGGCCAGAGAAAGTCTAGACATTTTATTTATTTACTTATTTACTTACTTTCTTATTTATTTACTTTGGTTTTCTGAGACAAGGTTTCTCTGTGTAACAGTCCTGGCTGTCCTAGGATTTGCAGACTAGGCTGGCCTTGAACTCACCGAGATCCATCTGCTTCTGCCTCTCCAATGTTGGAATTAAAGGCAGGCACCAGTATACTTGGCAGACATTTTAATCAAGATTCTTTGAGGGTTCACTGAGCATAAAATCTGTTAAAAAAATAAAAGACTGGGATCATGGCTATAGTTTTCTAATGGCCACAGGCCCTGGCCAAAGCTTTGCCTTTTAGATGGGGTAATTAGTTATATTTAAATCATTTTATTTTTATGCAGAGGGAATCAGAAGAACACAGTGAACATGGGGTTTGTATGAACTTCCAGGAGGAGTTAGGGCTGAGGACAGGAACAGGACAACAAGGAACAGTAGTTAACCAAAAGGCCTGTTATGCAGAAAAGGACTGTTTAGAATATCAGTGAACTGAACGGGTCTTGGCTCTAAGAGAACTGTGCCTTTCTTGAGTAAGTAGTGTGTGGTTTCTGTTTGAGTTTCTCACCTATGAGAATTTCAGGTAGGAGACAGTATGACTACAGAAGCTTTTCCAGCTGTTGGTGTGTACATGCTTGGCACAAACACCTGGCCAAAGCTACTAAAGCAAGGTTTCCTATGTGGCCATGGGCCAGATGACCTGGGGTGGGGGAGGACCTCATGTTCTGAGGAGCATGATGAAAATAGAGGGTAACCACCCCAGCCCTGAACAGTCTTGACCAGTGATGAGGGGGTGAAGGATGTACCTCTGGTGCTTAGAGGAACCCCCATTACTACCTGACCATATCTGGGGGACACATTCTTGTTCAGTAACTATTTGATTAGTTTAAAACATGGTACATATATACCACCATTCTAAACGGTACAGCCACCATGGACCCATTTTGTTTATTGTAAAGAAAGGATTTTAGTTCTTTTTTCTTTTCCCCTTTTTGTTGCTGTAATCCAGACCTTCTCTTAACTCAGCCATCTCCTTGCACTCTGGAATAATCTACTGTTCATTGTCAAGACGGAATGGGATCTGAGTGTGCTGGAAGGGCTTCTTCCTGCCTAATTTTGTCTCGCAAGACAGGGCTAGAAAAGAAGGGTCCTCCACTTTGGTTTCTGGGGTTCTCCAGATAACACTAAGTGAGGAAAAGGCCAGTCCAAGGTTCGCTTAACCAGGTGAGTGCTCATGGATTAATTGGACTCGGGCAGCCCCGAGAACCCTGCCCTTTGGAATGTCCTTGTTTAGCTGAGGAAAAACCCTGCACAAGTCTACTCAACCCCTTGCTCTCGAGACACGGCATGGGCTTCTTTTCACCAAATTCTTCCGAAAGTTTGGATTGGTGGGAAGAACTGTGCTGTTCTTATTTTCACTGACTGAACTTCTTTGTCAGCCACAAACTCACAAAAGAACTCTAAGCCCAGGGTTGAGATTACAGAGACAGGTGCAGAATTAAGTGTTCTCCTTGGGCTGGCCTAGCTTCTTAACCACAGGTGCCACCAAAGAGTTGTATATTTGCATTGGGGGGGTCTCAGATATCATACATTTTTCTAGGGTGAGGAGGGAACAGCAGTGGCAACTCTTGCCTCCCCACTCCTCTATCCTGTCTCCCACTTTGGAAAAAAAGAGCCTTGTACATGTCACCTTTGAAATTCTTTAAAATTTTTTGAAATTAGATAGGGGAACACAATGGTGCAGGATATGGTGATGGAAATGCAAGGAATCGTGGGGGTGAGAGGGACAAAAGATAGCTGACATGGGCCGTCCTAAAGCATACTACTTAGTATTTCTGAAACCGGGGACGTGGGGTCCGGACTCATCTCTGAACTAGTGGAGCTCTGCAGGCTGGTACGGCCTGCGGCGGTAGGCCTCAAACCTGTCCACAGTTTTGCGTCCTGGCCCACGAGTGTGTCTGGGTAGGATTCCACATAGACTCTGTGCACTGAACGCCTTGGATGGTTCTGGAGGCAGCTCCTGCGCTCCTCGGGGAGGCTGGCTGCGTGGGTCAGAGGCAGGCCCCGGGGCCCATCCACCACAGGTCCAGGACCCTCTGCTTCCCCAGGATCTTGAGCCAGGCCACTGGCCCGAGACTGGTGCTGCGTGTAAAAGCCTTCTGAGAGCGACAGCGACTGCGTCTCGCTGTGCATGCGCAGCCAGCGGTGGTGACGGCTAAAGCCACCATAGTGCTGGTGCTTGCCTGGCTTGCGCTTTCCCAGGAAACCCAGTGGCGGCCGAGTGCCTGGCACCATCTTGGCATGGTTCTTGGGTGCTAAGCCCGTGAGGGTCAGGCTGTGGAGAAACTCTGCACACGAGTGGTCGGTGTCTGGGCCCTGCACTGGGCCCTGAGGGTCCTGGCCAGGCCCCATGGAAGCCTTCATGTCGTGCACCTGTAGGACATCTGGGGCGCTGCCACTGAGGCCACTGAGGGCCTGCTGGGCGATGTCATGGGATGACAAGTAAACCAGGTCCAGGTCTCGTGGGCTCAGGGCATCACTGGAGTCGTAGTCACTGTCAGTGGGGAGGAAGACTTCTGAGCAACCTTCTTCATCGGAGCAGGGCTGTGACTCTGCAAAGCCAGGGACAGATGTTAGAAAGGAGACAGACCCTTAGCAAGGGTCTGACTCTTGGGCTTAAGAGGGTGCCACCCTTGCTTAGAAGGGCATCCAACTTCGTTCTGTCACGTTTTGTAATTCTTAAGACTTGGACCAAGAGCTGCACATTCCCCTGGATCACAGGACCCTGCAGATTATATAGTAGCTTCTGGTCTTAGTTTAAGGGTGAAACAGCGGCTCTCCACCCTTTCACAGGGGTCACCTAACGCCGTTAAAAACCACAGATATTTACATTATGATTCACAACAGCAGCAAAATTACAGTTATGAAATAGCAACAAAAACCATTTTATGGTGTGTGTGTGTGTGCGTGCGTGTGTGTGTGTGCGTGCGCGTGTGCGGGGGACAGTCACTACAACATGAGGAACTGTATTAAAGGTCACATCATTAGGAAGGTTGAGAATCACCAGGATAAAAAGGTCGAGTCTGGACAGTGGTGGGGGGGGGCTTCCCTCATGTCACCACACACGCATTTTATGTTTATTTTTCTGGCATCTGCCTGTAGAGAGGAAGGACAAGAAACAAAGCTGCATGTTATTTATTCTCTATTCTTATTTCAGAGATAAATTTTCCATTTGACAAAATAGCAGCAGTCTAAAGGTGGGAAGGGAAGAGACATTGGCAGCAGAAGATGAGAAATCTGGTTTCAAATCCTAGCTGCCCGTATTCTCTTTCTGTGGTCTTGGGAAAATGACTTCTTTGAGCTCCAGTTTCTTATCTATAAGTAATTGATGATATTGGAACTTACTTGGGGAGACTAAAACCTAGTGATTATAAATATAAGCATTCAGTATATTGACATATACTAAAGAATATAATAAAACAACATCAATAATAAAAATAAGCCAAAAGAAGGAACAAGAAAGAGTGGGGCAGAAATCAGTCTCAAGGGCTATGTAGTGGTCTAGAGTAAACTAAAAACTGGTTCTGTATTTGTCATCTTATATGTAGTTGTTTTTATATTTACCCCCGATGATGTCAATCATTTTTGATGGAAAGCACTGTCCAAAATCCTTTGACTTTCCCATTACTACTAAGCCCATAGTAGTTACTTGGTGAATAATGTACATGTGAATTTTGAAAACATTTTACAAAGTATTTCTGTCAAATTTATCAACCACTTCTTTAAAATGCTAGGTGTATGCCTTGTTTAAAAAGGCCTTCCAACACAAAATCACAAATACTTTGTTTTCTAATATTCTGGGACTTGTTTATTATAGTTAACCATATGGAATTCATTTCTATATGTGGAATAAGTAGGACTCTTGTTTATTTTACTAAAAGGCTAGCCAGTTGTGACAGCACTTATATATATTGAATAATCTATTTCTTAAAAACCACTGGAAATTTAAAGCAATTCTAAAAATAGTTTTCATAGTATTTTAAAATAGAATATAATAAATTGTTATGAAAATTTGTTTAGAAGAGATTGATGAGAATAATCAACTTTTAAAAAGATAGAACAGGGAGCTGGGTGGTGGTGGCGCACGCCTTTAGTCCCAGCACTCAGGAGGCAGAGGCAGGCGGATCTCTGTGAGTTTGAGACCAGCCTGGTCCACAGAGCTAGTTCCAGGTCAGGCTCCAAAGCCACAGAAAAATCCTGTCTCGAAAAACCAATAAATAAATAAATAAAAACAAAAAGTAAAAAGAAAAAAAGGAAAAAAAAAAATATAACAGGGAAGGATGGCTTATCATATAAAATCTACTCTAGAGCTTTGGTCATTTATACTTCATAGTATCAGTATAGAAATGAATGGATAGATCTGTAGAATATAAAAGTCTGAAGGCAGCTATAATTTTATGATAAAGTGATAAAGATAACATTTCAAAGAGATCATTCTATATATAGTGTTGTAACACTTGACTGTCCCTTTAGTATAATAATGAGCCATACCACATTCCATATATAGAAATAAATTCCACATGGTTAACTATAATAATAAAATCCCAGAATATTAGGAAATAATATATTTGTAATTTTATGTGGGAAGGTGTTTTTAAATAAGACATACTCTAGAATTCTAGAGAAGTGGTTGATAAATTTGACATAAATGCTTTGTAACTGTAAACCAGAAGACAATGAAAATGGGCAGATGGTAAGAACCAACCTTGGGAAGAATAACTGCTTACAAAAGGTGAACTAACACATGACTATGCTATCTTCAATCCAGACCGTAATTAGGAAAGGAAGTGTTGAACAAAGAGGCATTTTTTTTACCCATAAGACTTTCAAAAACATCAGAGCAACAATCTTGTATGTTATTGATCTGTGAAAACTCAAGAACTCTCATGTAATGATGAGGAATCTAAATTGATTTGGCTCTTTGGGATTTAATTTGGCAGAGTATGTTAAAAACTGTGCATATCATTTGTCCTCATAAGTCCTTTTTTGGATATCCCCGGGTGTACACGCAGGCATTTTACAAGTTGTTCAATGCGGTGTGATTGGTGGCAGTGGTTGGGGATGCTGTGGGAGGTAGACCGACAGCCACGGAAAACCTAAGGAAAGGAAAATAGTTCACTTGTTGAGTTCTGCAGGGGGCCCATATTCAGGAATGCCTTTCTGAGTACAGAATACAACAGGCATCAACAAAATAAAGCGACAAAGTTACCGTGTTAAAGTTAGTCTGTTCCTCGTAGAAGTTAGATGTGATTATTACAAGAATATTGAAAAGTACAAGGATAGAGTTTATTTTGTTAGGAAATCAGTATTATTTTTTGCTATTAGAGACTCTTTAGCTAGAATTTACCTTTTCCTTACTCCTTCATTTGTTTATTTCATCTCAGGTTAGTAAATGGGTGTGGGTTGTATTTTGAGTCCCACCCTGACTATAGGTGACTTAATACATCTACTAGTAAGTTAGGTGTATTAAAGGCTGATTTGAGTTATTTTATTTTTAACATATGATGGGCTTTACTGGAACATAACTCCACGGGAGGTTGTGGAACATTTGTATTTGGTACACAGTGGATCTACAATTTCTAAGAAGTCAGAACATCTGTTTCCTGGGAGTTCACTGTTTAGTGGAAGCAGGAGGCAAGGATGCATTCAGAGGACTGTGGCAGAAATAGTTTTACTAGAGAAGTGTAGTAAATAAGACATGGGTTTGAAGGGAAAAGAGTTGACATCTTATTGGGGCAAAGTTAATAAACCATCTTCTATTTACTTTTTTCTCCTCTCACTATCTATTCTTTTTCCATATTAATTTATTTCTTTATCCACTTTCTAAAAGCAACTCAAGGCCGTTTTTAAGATGAACGTACCTGGAATGACAACAGGATTATAAAAGGGAAAAATGAAAATAGTAGAGATAAGTTCATTCGAGAGTATTGGGAGCAGGAATGGAATTGGGAGATCTGAGGCTACAATGAACGGGCCAACAATTGCATACTTACAAGGTTTCAAAAAGGTTTTTTTTTTTTAAAGTGAAGGCTTGTTTGTACACAAATATTCACAGTGGATTTACTGGTAGTAAACACTGTAAACTGGCAGTATGTCCTTCAGTGAATGAATGAATAAATGGCTAAATTGTGGCACACCCATAATATGGAATACTTTTCATTAATGAAAAGAAAGAATTCCATATGCACAATAAGTATGATAGAACACAGAGATGAAGAACAGATTGTGGGTTGCCAAGGGGAGGGGTGGGAGGCAGAAGGCTATATGAAAGGACAACAGAGAGAATTTTGTGGTAAGGTTAGAGTTGAGTATCATGATCATGGTGGTAGTTACCCAGCGCCAAATTCGTGATAGAACTCTGCCAAGCTGTACGTGTGAAGCCATGTCACGTGTGGATACACAGATATCCTCAGCGAACATTTGTGTAACTGTGAAATCTAGACTTGCTGAGTGGGTTATGTCTGTTTTCTTCTTTTGATAATGTACAAGAATTGTGTAAATTGTTAATATGGGGGTTGAGGGAGGCGATACAGGAACTTTCTGAGATCCTGTGTGTCTAATTATTCCAAAACAAGTTTGTAAGAGAATTTAAGAGGCAGGTGGCAGGGCTGGAGAGATGGCTCAGTGGTTAAGAGCACTGGCTGCTCTTCCAGAGGTCCTGAGTTCAATTCCCAGCAACCACGTGGTGGCTCACAACCATCTGCAATGAGATCTGGCGCCCTCTTCTGGCATGCGGGCATACATGGAGGCAAAATATTGTATACATAATAAATAAATTAAAACTTTAAAAAAAAAGAGGCAGGTGGCAGAGAAGATGGGCTGCTTAGATAAGATGCTTGCTCCACGTTTTATAGCCAAAGGATAGTTATTGAAGGGTTTTGAAGAATGGACAAGACAGAAGTATGATGCAGGGTAGTTATGTATAAGGTAAAGTATGAAACAACAGAGAGGCAGGGGGAGCTCAGAGGACAGCGAGGAAGCTAGGTTGAGGCTGATGGTCCCTTGGTAATTTTCTTGCTCAGGCTGTGGAGCTGAGCAGCAGTGGTTGTATGAAGGAAGAAGAAGTGCGGGGAAGCTGCTCGTGATAACACGTTTATTGAGCATGAGTTTCTGGCAGACAGTTTAGGACTGTTTTAAAGCATCTAACAGTGTGTAACTCAGACAACAAATAAGTCAGAAAATAAGAAGTCCGGAGAATACAAAGAACAAAGTGATACTGGATTTTAGCTGAAGGGTAACTCGGGAGGGAGATTCTTTTGACTGAATAGCCAGAGCCAGCATCTCTGTATGTATCTGTGAATCTGTATGAGATCTTGGTGATCAGGGGAGACCCAGGGAAGAGTGTCCCAGATAGCTAGGAGAAGACATTCATGCTGCCTCAATGTTGCTAGATCGAGTGAGTTCCATCTTAGGTTGGGCAATGGAGAGGATGGTGAATTTGATTTGGGACAAGTTGAGTTTGCAAGATGACCAGAGTATCCAGGAGACTAAGTGGGAACCTGGTGAGGTAGGGAGGTTGAAGGATGGTACTTGTGGGTATGTGGAAAAAAGC